CGAGGCCCTGGGTTCGATTCCTCAGCACCCCATACGCAAAAAAAGCCAGAAGTGGCGCTGTGGCTCAAGTAGTAGAGCGCTTGCTTGGGCTGAAGAGCTGAGGGACAGCGCCCAGGCCCAGAGTTCAGGCCCCAGGACTGACAAAAATAAAAAATAAAAAGCTAAGGGACAACATTAGGCTCCCAGTTCAAGCCTCACAGTTGACAAAATGAATGAATGAATGCATGAAAATAAAACTCAGGTAGCCAGGCCCTGGTGGCTCCTCGCTACTCAGGAGGCTGAGATTTGAGGATCAACCCAAAGCCAACTTGGGTAAGAAAGTTGGTGATACTCTGATCTCCAATGAGTGATCAAAAAAACAAAAAACGGACGTAGAGCTGTGGCTCACGTGGTAGAGCACCGGCTTTAAGGGAAGAAGTTCAGAGACAGCACCCAGGCCCTGAGTTCAAACCCCAGGACTGGCACACACACACACACACACACACACACACACACACACACACACCACACACACAATTCGGGACTTACTAGAGCCCTCCTGCCTCTGGGTAAAGCTGAATGGCTGCAAAGCGCTTTTGTTGTTGGTTTGCTTGGTACAAATACCTTGAGAGCAAGTTCGTTCACCGGGTGGATTTATCACTGGGCGCCTTCTTGCTCTGTGGCTCACCTGGCTTCAACGTCATTGGGCCTCCAGGCGTAAGTCCCGCCTGGCCACCCCGCCGAGGACAAATAAAAGCCATGCCGAGACTTTGGCCGGGCAGCTCTCCCAGAAGGCCAGGAGCCTGAAGGTGGGTGTTCCCAAGTCCAGGGACGGAGGGACTGAGGGACGGAGCCTGGGTTTGAGTCACCGAGGGTAGGGAGTGGTTGGTTGTATCAGAGGAAAGTTCACAGGGAGGTACTGCTTACACAGGTCTTCCCAGGATTCTCCTATTAGTGGCGGGGTGGCCTGACTCCTGGGCACAGTTCACAAAGCTGAGCTGCCTCCCTCCCTCCTTCCTTCCCTTCCTCCTTCCCTCCTTCCCTTCCTCCTTCCCTCCTTCCTTCCCTCCCTCCTTCCTTCCTTCCTTCCTTCCCTCCTTTCCTCCCTCCTTCCTTCCTTCCTTCCTTCCCTCCCTCCCTCCCTCCTTCCTTCCTTCCTTCCTTCCCTCCTTCCCTTCCTCCTTCCCTCCTTCCTTCCTTCCTTCCCTCCTTCCCTTCCTCCTTCCCTCCTTCCTTCCTTCCTTCCCTCCCTCCTTCCTTCCCTCCCTCCTTCCCTCCCTCCTTCCTTCCTTCCTTCCCTCTCTCCCTTCCTTCCTTCCCTCCTTTCCTCCCTCCTTCCTTCCTTCCCTCCCTCCCTCCCTTCCTTCCTTCCCTCCTTCCCTCCCTCCCTTC